ATGAGAAATGGAAAATGTATGAGGTCATGGCGAAAGAAGAAGCAAAAATGCTGTTTTGGCTGCCTTGGAAAAACAGTAAACACCACAGGAAAGTGTTTGGTAAGCAGTGAGGAATACTTGAAGATTTTTGAGCAGTGGAGTGGCACAATGAGATCTGTGTTTTCACAGTAGGTTGGAGGATGCGTATGTGAAGAAGTAGAGACAGGGAGACTTCTAGGAGTCTCCTGTAATACAAAGGAGTTCTGCCCAGGACAGTTGAAGCACACAAGAAAAATTGAGATAATAGAGATGATATGGAGGAACAGGAAGAAAGGAGAAGAACTGAAAGATAACTCTGAAGTTTCTAGCTTGGCTGATTTAATATATAGGGATGCCAAGTAACAGAATAAAAGGTAAACCTATTGGGAGAGGAATAGGTTTTGGACAGGGATAAAACAATAAGTAGAAAGGTTTAGACGTGTTTTGCTTTGAAATGCCTTTTAGATTTGTGTCACCAGTGCCAAATATTCCTGTGCCCTTCCCTGGGGGAGGATTATACATCCCCACCCAATTATCTCAGGAATGGCCATGTGACTTGCTTTGGCTGATAAAAGGTGGCCTGAAATGTGTTACTTCTAGGCAGAAACTTTAAAAGCTAGCACATGGCTTGTTGTACATCTTTTATTCCCTCCGCCTTGATGACAGGCAATGTTCCAGATAGACGCTTTTCTATCATCCTAGGTTTCAAAGGGAGGACAGCAGGGTTACAGCTGCAGCAGAGCCACAATGAAAGTGTAATGTGAGCAAGAAATAAGTCTTTGTAAGTCACTGAGATTTGAGGCTTTTCGTTGTTGTTGCTACCACAGCACAGCCTAGCCTCTTTGATGCAATGCCTATAGAGCATCTAAGTAAATATCTGGTAGATAATTTGAAGTATAGGCCAGAAACTGCCTAGAGTGGTTTGGTGCTGGAAATACAGATTTAGGAATCTGTAGCAAATTAAGCGAGTCAAGAAAAGTGGATGACACTAAAGAGAGAGTTGAAATTGGGAAGAGAGGAGGGAGAAGTGTGAAATGACAGGAGACATCAGTGCCTAATGGATAGAAAAAGAAAGAGGAGTTAGAAGTCTGATTATGAAGATGAGGTAAGGTTAGCAAACTTGGAAAATTACATTGCTAAGGCCAAAGAAGACAATTATTGTCTTAAGTGCTACAAAGAGGTCAGTATGGGAATCTGACAAGATACCCGTGGATTCAAAATGAGCAAGTCATTGAGAGAATAATTTCAGTGGAGTCACTGAAATTACAGTCAGGTTATAGAAAATTGAAGTATGGGCCAGGTGTGGTGGCTCATAATTATAATCCCAGCACTTTGGGATGCCAAGGCAGGAGGATTGCTTGTGCCCAGGATTTCAAGACCAGCCAGGACAACAAAGCAAGACCCCACCTCTACAAAAAACATTAAAATTGACTAGGCATGGTGGTATGCACCTGTAGTCATAGCTACTTGGGAGGCTGAGGTGAGAGTATTCCTTTAGCCCAGATGTTCAAGGCTGTGGTGAGCTATGATTGTGCCACTTTACTCTAGCTTGGGCAACACAACAAGGCCCTGATACAATAAAGAAGGGAGGGAGGGAGGAAATTGAAGTATGATGTGAGAAATACAGATTGTCAAGTTGTTTTTCTAACAGTTTAGTCATAAAAGGAAGAAAAGAAAAGGGAGCAGGTAGACTGGGGAGAAATGGAGGATTAAGGAAGACTTGAGCAGCTTTCTAGGGTGAGAAGGAGGCAACAGAATGAGAAAGAGTGAAATTTTGAAAAATAATATGTAATTAATCAATTGAGGCTCTAGAGAAGGCCAGGATTAGAATTTGCAAACATAGGTGGGGGGAAAAGTGCATAAGTGGAGAAATTAGCCTCAGATGTGAGAAAGGACATAAGGAAACAAAAGATTTAAATAAATCTGAAAGTTGAGGAGAGGTAGCTAAGAAAATGAATGCCTTCTAAATCTTGTTTTCTGGGGAAAATAGATGGTAGGACTTTGTTGGTAATAAAGGCATTAAGGATAGAGTAGGGGATTTGAAAAGCATATAAAGGGTTGTAACAGATGCTATGGGGAATAGGATAAATGAAAAAAACTGCAGCATCCAAGGTCTGGCTGAGATTTGCTATCATGAGTTTGTACTATGTTGTATTATTAAACAATTTCCCTCCAGCAATTGCTATCAGTCTAAGAATAGAGGCAAAGAAAATGGGCAACTGATTCAGAGTTGGAGATTGGCAAGAAGCATGTTTAAGAGAGTTGAGGATGTTGCTAATTGTCAGGGGTACAAAATGGACCAGGACCTGGGACTGTCAGTCTTAAAAGGTTAGTCATGACAGTGGATGGTAAGGAGCAAAACTATGAGATAGCTTGATAATAGCTTAATAGACAGCTTAGAAAGATAATTCAGGTCCTAAAGCTACATGGGTAGCGAGTTGACAGATGGGTGGACAGGTAACAACAGCAGTTAAGGAAGGGGTGACAAAATGTTTTATGCCCAGATCTCAGGCAAGTGTTCAGAGAATTTTTATTTTATTTTATTTTAAAGATGTGGTACAGGCTAGATGCAGTGGCTCATGCCTGTAATCCTAGCATTTTTGGAAGCCAAGGCAAGAGGATTGCCTGAGGCCAGGGGTTTGAGAACAGCCTGGGCAATTTGGCAAGGCCTCATCTCTGCCATAAATAAAAAAAATTAGAAGGGCATAGTGGTATGTAGTTGCAGCTACTTGGAAGGCTGAGGCGGAAGGAACACCTGAGCCTAGCAGGTTGAGGCTGTGGTGGCCATGAACTTGCCACTGCATTCCAGCCTGGGTGACAGAGTGAGAACCTGACTCAAAAAAACCAAAAAAAGATGTGGGGTACAATTCAGGATTAGGTACACAAGTGGTCAATGTACAGGAAAAGTTTGGACCTCCCATTGGTCCTCACTTCGCAAAGTCTAAGAAGTACTACTGAGTCAAGGTTTATGCAATTTAGAAGAGAGCACTTTTAATCTAAGATGATTGGTGAACATGAGGCCAGAGAAGAAAAGAACCTTAGTTCTGGAATGCTTTCCAAAACAAAAAGAAGCAACTCATTCTTGGATTAGAGACAAAAAACTAAGGGTGTACAAAAAATAATGGGAATGCCTGACAAGATTACATGATTTAGCAACAGAAAGATCTGGTCTCCCTGGGAGTGGATCAGGGAGGCCCAGAAAAGATGAAGTAATGACATAAAAAATATAAAAGAAGCCGGGCTCGGTGGCTCAGCCTGTAATCCCGCTCCTTTGGGAGGCGGAGGTGAGTGGATTGCCTGAGCCCGCGGGTTCGAGACCCGCCTGGGCAGTGAGACCTCATCTCTACAATAAATCAAAAAATCAGCCAGGCATGGCAGTGCATGCCTGTAATTTCCGGCTACTCGGAAGGCTGAGGTGGAAGGAT